GACTGACCTCAAGACTGACAAATGTACGTGAGTGCGGGCATAGTCACTTCATAACAGGCAAGTTATGTTTCTAAATCTTGTGCAAAGTTGTTTCACCCATTACGTGCAACACCATGGACTCTGACACTGCAGACATAAAGGATCCAAGTTTCTCGGTCAACACTGCCTCGCTGCTGGTTGCATAATATTCAGAACGATTCTCCTTCGTCCCACGTGCAAGGCGTTCAAAATGAGCGCACTACACCAAAAAAACGATCCGCTGCACGAACAAAAACATGGTGCGGTCACTGTGCCCCATGGGCTCCGTAATGGCAGTCGAAACAAAGGAACCGGCGTCACTTGCAAGTTATGCGGAAGTTTTTTGGAAAGCATAGAAATAGGAAATGGAAAAGCCCGAGCAGAAAAATGAAACAGATTTCATGATGTGCAGTAAGCAGAGTAAAAGCAACAGAAATGCTGCGAACACAAATCACTGCAAAAGATCAACCTGAAAAGAACAGGGACAAAATTATAAAAGAAAAAGCCACGCAAACATATTCTGGGTAAAACGGAGCTAATGTGTGTTGCCATTGAGAAGAAATATGACATACCAGCACAAGAAAATGATGCAAAGGGAATCAAACCCTAACTAGACTGCTTATCAAGTGAATAAATTGTTGAGGTTTAATGTCCCAAAAGCACTAACATACTTGTCAAGCTCAAGGATTATGAATCTGGGAGTGGGAGATTTCTGCAACAGAGGGGGGGGGGGGGGGGGCAGGAAAAAAAAATTGCAAAAAAAAACGGAGAGGGGAAGGGGGTCCGTCAACTTCAGCGTTGCAGTCTTATCGAACACACGACAGTAGGATTTACCCAACTACAGTAGAAGGTGAGAGTCTCAAAGAGGGTGCGCAAATATTCGTATCCCCTGAAATTTCGCGTGATCAAAACAACTAGCAAAATCTATTTCTGTAAAAAGAACTCCCCCATGTCCCCCTTCCTGGAACACATGTGAATAGACGGCATGGCGCAGCCAGCTGCCTGGAAAGCGCCGGTCGAACCTTCGTTTGAGGGCAACTAAAAACTGAATGCTAAAGTAAAGCCAAAGTACCCAGATCAACAAAAACATCACTAGATTCTTTGGATGGGAACACCAAAACGCTTCTAGCCTTTATTATGTCCTTATTGCCTTTAATATACCGCTGCACTGGCCACGTGCTCTCGACTAGTATTCACTATTGATGATCGCATTGTCTCGCCGTAACTGCGGTTTCGCATGCAATGGTTGCGGAAAACGGTAGTTCCATTTTCAATCCGCACGCGCTGGCGGTGCATGTGCCTTAAAACCAAGTTGTTTTTTTGTTATCTTTGACCTCATTAGCAGCGGTTTTATCTGCAGCGGTCGTGAAAAGCAATGTCACTTGGCTGGTTGAGCATTGGAAGCACATTCCCCTTTCAGTTTCTGCAAGTTACATCGCCGCCACACATGATCCCTGTCAAGAGCGATTGCGGTTTCGTCCACAGCAATTGTGGTGAACAACAAACACACTGCATCCGCTGGCCGCAACACACTGCATGCACTGGCCGCGCACATTCTTCCAAAGCGTCGAGCACGCTGCTCTCGCCCTTTGTTCCCCAGTTTCGGTACTGAAGTTCATATGACCAATTAGGAAAAGTGTTCACGACATTCGAATTTCGGCCCAATGGATATAGTGAAATTTAACTGGGAAATTAAACTAATTCGTATCTGCCGGTTTCGCATCACTGAAATTCTACTGTACGTCTAGATGAACGTCTCCTAAGTTTGTTTACAATAAAATGTGATGGGTTTACAAAAAGTTTGGATCGGATTGGGCTGCACTTTTGTCAATACAGTCAGATCACACACAGAAATTTAGACTTCCGGGAGATTTTCCTGACACTCATACAAACACAAACTGATCTAACTTGAAGAGTCGTCAGGTGTGCATTACGCCTCCTACAGAGTGATGTCTGTGTCATGTAACCTTTGGGCCCCAAGTGTGAGAATAAAATTTAGGCCCATTTTAGAATCCAATTAAAACACATTCTAAATGTTTTCGGTGTCCAACACTATGCAGAGCATCCCTGCACACAGAGGATGCCTACAGAGGGCTTTTTATAGCTTCAAAGGCTGATGTCTCCATGCCTATATGGACCAGGTTCAAGGGAACCAAATTGGCAACCCCAAAAAGGACCAGGATGGGTTACGTGATGTGTAGGACCGACAACAAAATGTCACACAGAATGGGAAACACAGCTATGGCAGAAACTTAGTTAAATTAAGTTAACAAGCATAAAATGAAATCAGCTTATTCAACGATATAACTTGTAGGTCATTGGGAGAGGCCTTTGTCCTGCAGTGCACATAGAACGCTTGTGTCCGTCTTGTGACAAGGGCACACTGCGCTTGTGTCGGTCTTGTCCTTCATCCCAAGTGTTCGTCTTTTAACAGTGGACAATAAGGTAACAATGAATAGCTACCAACTTGCCCAAGCAAGTACCATTATAAGACGCATAGAATAGCATAGAATAGAAGATCCCCTTGACCAAAAGCCTTTGGTAAAGGGGATCGTCACATGCAAAGTCACAGGTAGTGTCCAAATAGTGCCGAAGTGTAGAGGCGCAAGCGTGCCTGTACACTTAGGCTATTCAAAGTGACAGGCGAAGCAAAAGCTGCCTCCTAAGACGCACAAACCGATTCTGGCAGCTGAACAGAGCTTTGCGAGCAGGATTTACGGCAACTATAATATACACATGTAAAGTAACAACCAGAATGACAAGTTTGAATGGCTGTCAAAGCTACAGAATATAATGCAATATAGTGCAGTATAATGACCTAGGCAGAAAGCATGTGAGGGTGAAGAGAAGCAATGTAAAGGTGAGATTGGGGAAAGAATGAGAGGGCAGGTAATTCTAAGTTTATTGTGTAGTGTAGTATAATGATCTAGGCAGAAAGGATGTGAGGGTGAAAGAGTAATATGCAAAATAAAATACTAAACCACGTCACACACAATATAACAGGGCTCTCTTTAAATAAATAATATATATATATATACACAACACACTCCCAAATGCTTGTACATCTAATGTAATCCTGAATGCCACAATCCCAGACTTGCGTCGGTTTATGATGCGCTGTCTAAAAATTTGCCTCTTCAGTATCTACAAAAAGCATTCTGTTCAATGGCATTTTGTACAAATGAGCCCCACAAACCCTTAACTAGTCAACTTGAAGCTTCCACTTTTATGCCTAACTAAAATTAATATCAGCTACAATTCAAAAATGGCAATTCAGGTTGCGTTTTTTTTTTCTTTATGGCACAAGGTTTTTTTTTTTTTTTCGAAACAATACAAAGATCTTGCACAATACTGAATTTCCAATATAGAGCATTTAGTTTAAACTGCACCTAGCATCTAATTGGATCCTAACCTAGTGTTGTGGTGGTACAGTGCAAAATAAGATGTATAACCACACAGTGTAGAGCCCCATTTTTCACAGCTCTGTACTTCTGGAGCATATGCAAGCAAAAATGCACAAAAACCATTCCCAAGCAAACTTTAATGCTGCATTGCGACTAACAAGCACAGTCCAAGCTACCAATAACACTGCTGTGCACTCGACGAGGCATCAGTGTTTTTATTATTACCATTAAATGAAGTACAACACATAGCACTACGACAACAGTGCTTGTAAGAGCAACAGAGCGCTCCAGTATATTCAAATTGTCAACGCTAAAAATGTAACAAATTATATAGTTCCAACAGAATAACACTCTGTCTAAAGCTACGTCTGATGTACGCAAAACTAGGAGTCAATGATACGTCGGGTGTGCCCAAAAGCTGAAGGTACATTACTGTGCATCAGAATCGTGTGCCTAAAGATACATCGGCCATAGCGATGTAGTGGGTTGCTCCAGTCGCAGGGTGGGTCGCGGCTACCACGTAACAGTTCGCAAAAGACTGACAAGGAACGAGCCGAGCCAGCATTGCCTATGACAACCGAAAACCGTGCATCGCATATGGTTGGGTGTCGCAGTCAGTGGTGCCAGTCATTGACTTCTGTCATTTCCCAGTGTGAATGCCTCCTTAAAGGACTACAGACACAAAACTGAAAATGTGATAACTTGTCTGATAGATTTGTCTAGGCCTTAGTATCAATGATTTGAAACTGCGTGTCATGTCACCGCCCCCCACACGCGAAATGAGCCTTCAGATTTTGTGTAAATAACGAAGTGCCATCTGCATCGCAAGTTTGTGCTAGCTGCCACGATCCTTGCGAGCGTTCACTCCTAGCATACCTTTTGAACAGAAAGAAGGGGCAGACTCGCCGGAAGTTTGCCTCGGCAGTGCATTGTTTTGGGGGGGAGGGGGGGAGCACACTAATAGTTGCAACTTCTTATAGTAGATTATAGCAATGCACCTAGGGCCTTCGCAGCAAAAAAAAAAAAAAGTGTCTGGGCGGTGCTCATGCGAACATGGTGTTCTGTGACCCCGTAACCAGTCAAGTTTGCATTTTGGGTGCCGCCTCACTTGATGCTCTTGAAACCGCAACAACAGTCTCAAAAACTAACCAACGCACATGAGGCCACTGTTTTTTTTTTCTTAATGAAAGCTTGAGTAGGCGAGAAAGTGTCCGACGTCTCTTTAGACTCCCTGATCCGCGGGTTCACGAAGTCAATCGTGCAAACGAACAACGGATGGGCGGGACGGGTTGGTCGAATAGGGAGTCACTTGAGTGCAAGCTCGCGAGAAAGCGCGACGTCCAACGCATCCTCAGACTCCTTGTTACGGATATACGCGTCCGACGTATCTTAGGCTCTCGGTTTCACGTACGTCCGACGTACCTTGAGCTTTTGATATCTGGGTGCGTCCGACGTACCTTTAGACGCAGCGATAGAACGAAGACATGTTGGGCAACCATGCGGCAACACTGCGCAGTCAAGGCAGTGCTCAAGCAGTCAAGAGAGTGCTCAAAAGTCACGCCGCAAGCAGGTACTCACCGATGCAAGTGTAGGGGAGTCTTATTGAGCACCGTGTAATACTGTCGAACAAACTCCCGCCCTATGTGAAGAGCGGTCGGAGTTTCCATGACCATGACTCTGTAGCCAAAAGAAGGCTGTGGAGATGGAAGCAATGTCTGCAATAAAAACGATTGTGTGAACTTCTGGGCTTTAATTACGGCTGCTCTGTCTATGTAAGGAAGCTACGCGTAATACTTCACAGCCCTTGGGTTTATCGCACACCATGTTCACCCGCAGATCACGCCGCGATACATGACTTAGCTTTACTGTACCCTGAATAACTAATGATCTTGTACGAACGCGTAGGAAACTGCAAATAAAAAAGGGGGGAGAGAATGGGTAGGGGCGTCCCCCACTTAGGGTTAATTATAACACGATTTACGCTTTTTTAAACTTTTTAACTTTATTTTTGTTGCATATAAGTTCCAAGAACGTAAAAATTCGTTTGAAGACATTCCTACTTGAGTGGCGCCACCACCATAGTTCCGACGACCGCCGCTTCCCAAGTGACCGCTGATAATCCGGCAGGCACAAGAATCTAGGAGACGTTGCATCTACGTTTAAAATAAAACAACAATCTGACCGCTAATGCAGAACATTTCGCTTGAACTTGCACTTTAACTTAATTTGAGAGTAATAATAATTACATTCGACAGCACCAATGACCCATAAGCAATTACTAGTCTTGCAACTAGAGGTGTGCGCCGAGGCGGTTTTAACCAGCGGCAGCGTGGAGGTCGTTCGAGCAACTGTCCCGAGTAGAGTGTGCGCCGAGGACACCGTGGCCGAGGAGTCGGCGCGCCGCTGCACAATTTTCGCTACGTCGCAGATGCTGACGCCAACTGATCGGCACGCCGCCGCCAACGTATTTGTGTGTATGTGTGTGTGTGGTGTGTGTGTGTGTGTGTGTGTGTGTGTGTGTGTGTGGGTGTGTGGTGTGTGTGTGTGTGTGTCACTATAGAGGTTTTTTTTTTTTTTTCAGCTAACCTATGTTGATTTTGCACTTTCTGTCGCCAGTCTGGCGTTAATTCTGTCAACTTCGCAAACGCAAAAAAATTGGTTCACCTGCCATTTAAACCTAAATAAGTGGACTATAAAAACAGTTAAAAAGAAAACAGTTAAGAAACTGGACCGCATGCATGGCTGCTTTTAATGAACAAAAAAGGTAAAATGACAAATAATATACGAAATGCTCTATCAAACAGAACCGATCCCATTGTATTGGCAGGTTGAGCGAGATCAACAATATTTGATGAAATGGTGGTCACCATAAATTAAGTTTGTGTGAACTGTGAAGTAACGCACAGAAGACGATCGCGGACAAAATACTGAAGCGTGGGCTTGTATTTTCAACGTGCTTCGTACTGCACACCATGCGACGCTCCACGCCGCGATATCAAACCAAGCAATCTACCTTTCCTCAACTAGTTTTTATCTCAGACTTAATTCAACCACTATAGATGCCGATTTGTCACAACCGTGTTTCAAAAAGGACGCCACATGTGTAGCTTGCTCCGCGAGTTGGTTTATAATATTTTTGAAAGAACAAACTAAGGAGCTCAACCTGACAGGACATCGAGCGCAAGGTTTATGGCGGAAAGTCTACAAACCCATGTACCAGAATCGCATTCATAAAAAAATAGGCTGAGGCGTTCCACAGCTGCACACAACAATACAAAGGCAAGAAGCATGTCAAAATGCTACAAACAGCACACTTCTGTGATCAACGCCATAAGCACCACAATCTACGCGAACCTATCATCTAGTTGTAAGGATCACTGAAGGATCACTTAGCCATTCTTTTGTTTCCTTTAAGGCTTGAAATCTTCACGTTCCATCTATTTCTTCCTTTGCCAATGACACTGATATATCGGGGACGCAGAGACTAGTGAAGAGGTCAGTTTTGTGCCTAAAGGATTTTCACACTGCCTATAGATGTCACTAGGCCTCGACCCATCTGATCTCTGTAGCCACGGCTGCATGACATGGAATTTCTTTCAAATCATTGTATGTCATGGCAAAGGAAAAAAATTGAACGCGAAACTCGTGAAGCCTTCGAAATAAAAACAGAGCGAAGTGTCTGTCCGAGATCCCTCAGGTGTCCTCACAGATGAAGAACTCGTGGTATAGATAGCGGGTATATAATACTGGCATTTATATTTTGGTGTTCCATGGAAATCGGCTGTTTCATACCACCTTGAAACATTTGCTGAAAAAAAGTACATTTAATTGCTCAACTGTGGTTTAGATAGCCGCAACTGAAGTTTAGAAGCACATGCTTAAAAGCATGTGCTTCTGGTTATTATTGTAGGGGTTCTCTTTAATAACATTTAGTTTAGGTCCAACACTTGTCTTCGTGGTTCCTACGCTGAATTCGTGTTTTTAGTTGGGTTCTTCTTACGTAGATTGGTAAAGGTCATCCCTATTATGAATATGTGGGCCTAGCAACCACCCTTCCATTCTCCCATATTTCACCATCGTGAACGCACACAAGATGTCTTCATCAACGCGTGACGTCAACGAGAAATGTATTCCGATCATAAGTCAGCAAACTCACTGATGAGTCTATCAGAGGAATTGAAAGGCTCAGATTGAGGTGTGAGACAGAGTCGAGTAATCCGGCTGAGTTGTACTTAGGTAGGCCTCAGTCCGAGTGAGACCGGCTGAGTTTTACCACGGCGAGTCTGAGTTCGAGCGGGTTCCTAGTTCGATTTAGCAAAATTTTGGTCACGACGTGCTCGCCTCGCACCGTAGCAGCGCCCTTGGTATTGCCGTTGCAAGCACTGCGCGCACCATTGGGAGAGTCAAGCGTAAACTACGCAGAAACCCCATACAGTAAGTTCGAGAACAATACATAAGCATTTGTGCACAAACTTAAATAATCTTCAGCACGCGGCAGGCAGCGCAACGTCCAAGACTCCGGACGAGGGAAAATATTCGGCAGCTATCGATAGCTAATTTTGAACACCCTAGAATAGCCAACTGGCAGACGCACAACACCGTATCTATGATTACAAACATCGGAACGTTCTCGTAGACCTGAACGAAAATCGCCGCACGTATACAAACTTCGAAGACTCCGCAGCACATGTCCAACACGTTTTCGAGCAAGGCGAACAGACGATCCCCACGCAGTGTACTATGTGGTCGATGCATCCATTTAAACCATCGCTATGGTAGAGCGAACAAATAGAATCGATGAAGTACTTACTTAGAATAAGTTTCCCAACCACGTATACATAAAAAAGAAAACTACGCCGTTCTTTGTGACGGTCTCTGGCATGCTTCACAAATGCCGCGCAAGCTTCCCTTGGAGGGAGTTGAACGAAAAGCACATTTAACACGAATGCAATGGCAATTCAGTGAATCAAAAATGGTGTAGACTAAATGCGCGAGTAGGCTTTACCGCAATAATCCAGCGATATTCCAACTAGTCACTTGACGTTAGGCTTAACTGCTATCAGATGCATCGACCATACAAGTTAATTGCAGCTGCCATAACTTCACACTTAAAACATTTTGCACGAAATACGACGCATCACCACTGGCCTACTTAAGCTTTACGAAATCCCACAGGGCGGTGATGACGTGGACAACGCTAACTACGGCCCACAAAATCATAACATCAAACGCTACTCACGCCGGTCACAGTTTTGCAGATAAATCAAAGAACCCGTACTTGGGAGTGTCGTTGCACACACTGCCGTCAAGCGGCGCTTCTGCATCATCTACCAACGCCTCCTAGATTTCCTGTGCCTGCCTGATGAGCGCGAAACGCCGGTCATCTATGGCAGCTATGCCTACGTAGAAGTAATGGTTTTGTACTTGGCCTTTGAGATTGGCAATTTTGACGTTTGCTATTAATTTCAGAGGACGCCTTGTATTAAAAAAGTTGTTTGCTGAATGACGGCGTCACTCACTTAGGGTTAATTTAACACGATTTACGCTTTTTTAAAACTTTTTAACTTTATTTTTGTTGCATATAAGTTCCAAGAACGTAAAAATTCGTTTGAAGACATTCCTACTTGAGTGGCGCCACCACCATAGTTCCGACGACCGCCGCTTCCCAAGTGACCGCTGATAATCCGGCAGGCACAAGAATCTAGGAGACGTTGCATCTACGTTTAAAATAAAACAACAATCTGACCGCTAATGCAGAACATTTCGCTTGAACTTGCACTTTAAACTTAATTTGAGTAATAATAATTACATTCGACAGCACCAATGACCCATAAGCAATTGTACTAGTCTTGCAACTAGAGGTGTGCGCCGAGGCGGTTTTAACCAGCGGCAGCGTGGAGGTCGTTCCGAGCAACTGTCCCGAGTAGAGGTGTGCGCCGAGGACACCGTGGCCGAGGAGTCGGCGCGCCGCTGCACAATTTTCGCTACGTCGCAGATGCTGACGCCAACTGATCGGCACGCCGCCGCCAACGTATTTGTGTGTATGTGTGTGTGTGGTGTGTGTGTGTGTGTGTGTGTGTGTGTGTGTGTGTGGTGTGTGGGTGTGTGTGTGTGTGTCACTATAGAGGTTTTTTTTTTTTTTTCAGCTAACCTATGTTGATTTTGCATTTCTGTCGCCAGTCTGGCGTTAATTCTGTCAACTTCGCAAACGCAAAAAAATTGGTTCACCTGCCATTTAAACCTAAATAAGTGGACTATAAAAACAGTTAAAAGAAAACAGTTAAGAAACTGGACCGCATGCATGGCTGCTTTTAATGAACAAAAAAAGGTAAAATGACAAATAATATACGAAATGCTCTATCAAACAGAACCGATCCCCATTGTATTGGCAGGTTGAGCGAGATCAACAATATTTGATGAAATGGTGGTCACCATAAATTAAGTTTGTGTGAACTGTGAAGTAACGCACAGAAGACGATCGCGGACAAAATACTGAAGCGTGGGCTTGTATTTTCAACGTGCTTCGTACTGCACACCATGCGACGCTCCACGCCGCGATATCAAACCAAGCAATCTACCTTTCCTCAACTAGTTTTTATCTCAGACTTAATTCAACCAACTATAGATGCCGATTTGTCACAACCGTGTTTCAAAAAGGACGCCACATGTGTAGCTTGCTCCGCGAGTTGGTTTATAATATTTTTGAAAGAACAAACTAAGGAGCTCAACCTGACAGGACATCGAGCGCAAGGTTTATGGCGGAAAGTCTACAAACCCATGTACCAGAATCGCATTCAAAAAAAATAGGCTGAGGCGTTCCACAGCTGCACACTAACAATACAAAGGCAAGAAGCATGTCAAAATGCTACAAACAGCACACTTCTGTGATCAACGCCATAAGCACCACAATCTACGCGAACCTATCATCTAGTTGTAAGGATCACTGAAGGATCACTTAGCCATTCTTTTGTTCCTTTAAGGCTTGAAAATCTTCACGTTCCATCTATTTCTTCCTTTGCCAATGACACTGATATATCGGGGACGCAGAGACTAGTGAAGAGGTCAGTTTTGTGCCTAAAGGATTTCACACTGCCTATAGATGTCACTAGGCCTCGACCCATCTGATCTCTGTAGCCACGGCTGCATGACATGGAATTTCTTTCAAATCATTGTATGTCATTGGCAAAGGAAAAAAAGATTGAACGCGAAACTCGTGAAGCCTTCGAATAAAAACAGAGCGAAGTGTCATGTCCGAGATCCCTCAGGTGTCCTCACAGATGAAGAACTCGTGGTATAGATAGCGGGTATATAATACTTGGCATTTATATTTTGGTGTTCCATGGAAATCGGCTGTTTCATACCACCTTGAAACATTTGCTGAAAAAAAGTACATTTAATTGCTCAACTGTGGTTTAGATAGCCGCAACTGAAGTTTAGAAGCACATGCTTAAAAGCATGTGCTTCTGGTTATTTATTGTAGGGGTTCTCTTTAATAACATTTAGTTTTAGGTCCAACACTTGTCTTTCGTGGTTCCTACGCTGAATTCGTGTTTTTAGTTGGGTTCTTCTTACGTAGATTGGTAAAGGTCATCCCTATTATGAATATGTGGGCCTAGCAACCACCCTTCCTCATTCTCCCATATTTCACCATCGTGAACGCACACAAGATGTCTTCATCAACGCGTGACGTCAACGAGAAATGTATTCCGATCATAAGTCAGCAAACTCACTGATGAGTCTATCAGAGGAATTGAAAGGCTCAGATTGAGGTGTGAGACAGAGTCTGAGTGAATCCGGCTGAGTTGTACTTAGGTAGGCCTCAGTCCGAGTGAGACCGGCTGAGTTTTACCACGGCGAGTCTGAGTTCGAGCGGGTTCCTAGTTCGATTTAGCAAAATTTTGGTTAGTCTGGGTGCTTGCGAGTCCTCTGCATTTTTTTTATTTTGCTCACCTATGATTACAAATATTTAGTCTCAATTCATGGCATACCTTGTAATCGTGTATGTGCCGGCTTGTAAAGCCAGACAATTGGTTTTCCAAGTTGTAAATCTGTCTAATTCCCAAAACCCTTAGAACTCGTTCTATTGAAGGTCCTTGATAAAAACCACTTGCTCATATCTTCGAATAAAAATGATAACCTTAACTTAAAGGCACGGAATGAAATGACGACATAAAATGCGCCGCTAGATGATGATGATAATGATGAAAACTTTATTACTCCCAAAAGAGGGGACCGGCCGAGAGGTTGGTTACACTGCTTTGAGTTGGTCAGCAGGGATCCCTTGGGTCACCGTGACCTCCAATGCGCGTGAGATTACCTGGCGTTGCTGTGCCGAGTCAGTGATATGCAGGAGGGACTCCCATGTATCTTCTGTGTGAGAAGTGTCAGTGTACTGTGGGCACGTCCATGCCATGTGTATGAGGTTGGCCGATTGTGAGCAGTATTTACAGTGTGGTGTCACGAGGTGTGGGTATACCTTGCTATAAAGCCAGGGGTTGGGAAAGACACCTGTCTGAAGCTTGTGCCACAGGAAGGCATCACGTCGAGGGAGGTTTTAGTGAGCTGGAGGATAGCGGAGACGGCCTAGTCTGTAGTGCTGTAGAATGTCTGTGTAAGGGACCAAAGGAGTTAGCTCTTCGCAGGTCTGGGAGGGCGAAGAATGAGAAGTGTAAGGCGTAAAGAACTCCGCCCGGCAGTTGAGATCTCGGGCGAGAGTGTGTGCATGCGCACTTACACTAAGGGATTTATGAGCAGGGGCCCAGATAAGAAAACGAGGTGAGACAGGCGGGGTGTGATGCTTATGATTGAGTATGCCTGTGTAGAGATACGGCCCGCGTCAAAATTTCGGATGGCGAGTTGGGAATCACTTACGATCACCTTGGTTACAGGGTCGGTTATTGCCAAAGCAATGGCAACCTCTTCGGCAACTGTTATATCTCTGAACGTCATGCGGATCGTAGGGCTGACCGAGCGTTCCAACTACAGAAACGTCTCTCAAATCGTTCCGATGTCACACACAGACGCCTCGCGACTAACATCGATCAACAATGGTGGCTGTCGCCCTGGCCCCACACCGTGGGTGGAGCACGGTATGTAGTGTAATTCACACCACTAGATGAGACATCAACCTTAATATGCTAACATGACTGAGAAGCTAAGGTATACTTCCGATGTGCACAGCTATTTGTAAACTTTTTTTGCAGTGTATTTGGACACGGAGCTAATGCCATTCGCGCCGGCGTGATCGGTGAGTTTTACCACGGTGAGTCTGAGTTCGAGCGGGTTTTCGATTTAGCAAAATTTTGGTTAGCCTGGGTTCTTGTGAGTCCTATGTAAAAAAAAACTTATTCAATTGGGGCGTCTTTTATTTTTCTGACCCATGATTACAAATATTTAGAGTCTCATTTCATGGCGTACCTTGTAATCGTGTATGTGCGCCGGCTTGTAAAACCCGGAATTGATTTTCTAAATTGCAAATCTGTCTCATTCCCCACACTCTTACAACTTGTTCCATTGAAGGTCCTTGATAAAAACCACTTGCTCATATCTTCGAATAAAAGTGATAAGCTTAGCTTAAAGGTACGGAATGAAATTGCGACATAAAATGCACCACTAGATGAGATATCAACAACAATATGCTAACATGACTAAGAAGCTAAGGTATACTGCCTACTTCCAAGGTGCACAGCTATTTGTAAATTTGTTTTTAGTGTATTGGTCACAGAGCTAATGCGGTTCACGTCGGCATAATTCACGATTTGAAATTAGAATTTTCAACAAGACGTTAGGAGTTGCTTCTAAAAACCAGTTATTTTTGGTGATGTAATATTGATTTTATGCATCTCACTGGCTTCAACTTTAATGCTAATAGGTAATGCGTTTATACTTTATAGAGTACACCGTTCGCAGACTATGACAAGTATAACGAGCAATTTATGCTCATGCATGCCACAAAACTCGTATGATCTTTTCTCAGAATAGAACGCATATCGTATTGCGATGATAACAAGAGGAAAAACTGAATAATTATCCGTAACTTCACTATTGTATATCTAGTGTAATTCACAATAGTTCAAATAAATGAACATGACATTAGAGGGCATGGAAGTGATTTGTGCAGCATGTTCTGGCACATGTGCA